CTTTGTCTTTCTTCAAACTATCAAAAGCATTTTTTTTCAATCTTGGAATAGTAATTGCATATAATAAAATAAAAACAAGTAAATATACAATTAGCAATTAATAATGTGATAAAATTTGTAACCATTTCTATAATTATTTCCTCAGAAGCAATTATTACAACAGCAATTGCTTTAGTTTTTTTCATCTACCCATATTTTGATCAATTTTTTTAAGTAATTTTAATTAATTTTTTGTTTTAGCGCCAGAGCCCACCACTATTAATTATTTTCCTGGACCATTTTAACGTCAAATCTTGTGAATAAAATAAAAACAAATAAAGTATCATATTTTTATTACTACACCTATAGAAAACAACTTGTTCTATTACAAATATTTTTTATTTAGTTAACAAAGAAAAAAAAAGTATAAATTATGTAATCACATAAAAATTAATCGAAAGCTTCTTCTATAGACACTTTCGAGAAGAAATTATTTAACAAACTTGTGACAATTGCTTGAATAATTTCTATATAACCAGCTTTAACATCATCAAAGACTTCCTTCCAATTATCATTAAGGACTTGATTGATATTATCGCCCAAAACTTTATCACCATTAAACAAATTATCCAATTTGTAAGACACGTGACCTGGATCCATACTAATTTCACTTGAAACGATTTTTATAAAAGTTTTGTTCTTCTTCTTCGTTTCTTCGTAATGCAGAAGAGCAGTCACAGCCAGATTTGCTACAATCAATTTTTTAATCAAAATTAAGCAAATTATAAACTTACTTAAAACTATTTCACTTGGCCCTTTTCCAGTAACTGGCAAGAGAAGCACTTGACCATCCACTTCATAAGAACATTTTTTTACAATTTCTGGGAATGTTCCAGCAACGTTTAAGACCTTTTTCTCGAAATCAAATCTGCAATAAGTAATTGAAAAAGCTAAAAACCCAAAAGTCTCTAATACAAAATAAAAAAACAATGTAAAAGAAAGCAAAATTTAAGAAGCTAAAGATTTGAAACCTTGAAAACCTGAAAATTTAAATAAAAATTGAAGAAAAGTTGCAAAAATAATGAATTTTTTAAGAGATAGAAGAATTGAAGAATCCAAAAACAAACACAGAATATAAGAAACTTTTTTACAAAGTAATAATAAGTAAAAAAATAAGTATCTGAAGATGGAAAAGCTAAGGACTGAGATTCTGAAAACCTCCAAAATCTAATTTCATAAAAAACAAACAAAATAAGAAATAATAATTATAAAAATAGAAAAAAAATCAATTTTTTTGTAAAATATTGCAAGATTAAAAAAAATAGGTCTGAAAAGCTAAAAACTTAAAAACTTCAAGAATTCTAAAATCGGATAAAAAAGCGAAAATCCAATAATCGAAGAACAAAAATCAAAACACTGAAGAAGCTTCAATCCAAAAACAAACACAGAATATAAGAAACTTTTTTACAAAGTAATAATAAATAAAAAAATAAGTA